AAACTCCGTCTCAAAAAAAAAAAAAAAAAAAAAACTCATTCTGATAGAGTGAGATGGAAATTTTTGTTTGTTTTTGAGACAGAGTCTTGCTCTGTTGCCTAGGCTGGAGTGCGGTGCTGTGATCTCAGCTCCCTGCAATATCTGCTTCCCTGCAATCTCCGCATCCTGGGTTCAAGCAATTCTCTGCCTCAGCCTCCTGAGTAGGGGCAATTACAGGTGCCCACCACCATGCCTGGTTAATTTTTGTATTTCTAGTAGAGATGGGGTTTCACCATCTTTGCCAGGCTGGTCTTGAACTCCTGACCTCTTGATCCACCTGCCTAGGCCTCCCAGGGTGCTGGGATTACAGGCATGAGCCACTGCACCTGGCCAAGATAAAAATATTAGTGGAAAATCACATTGCAATATGACAAGTGCAAGAAGAGAAGTACAGTATGTGCAAAGATCTGTAGGATCTAGCAAAGGGACAGGGCAAACTGTCAGGGTGCTTCTTCAAGGAACAACAGATTCAGTAAATCGTTCTGCATTCTGATAAAGAGTATGGCATCCTGGTAGTGATTTCAAATAAACAAATAAATAAATAAGATCGAAGGAGTGTAAAGAGGAAGGTGAATGATGACTCCTAAAGCAATCTTAGGACAAATAGGAAAAAGGTAAAAAGAAATGGAACAATTAAACTGACATAGACTCAAATCACTCTACACTGCAAACATGTGCCTAAAAAACGCCAGCACATACACACAAGGACATGAGCTAAAGTCTACACAGGCTTATGGTGAGACTTCCCTTGGGGAGCAGAATATCAAGAATTAGCAAAGGCAGAGTAGAAAGACAAATAAGTGTGTGTGTTCAGATTTCCTGGAATCTATACAGAGATCCCAATTTCCCTTCACATAAGTAGAGCCATTGATGTCAGCAAGAAACAAAGATTCCATTAAGGCTTATTATGTGCTTTAGATATCCTGGTGTAGAATTTTTCTGCCAAAACTGTTTTAATCATTTATTGTAAAAGAAGTGATAAAAAATAAGATACTTTAATTCCACATTTTATATCTTAGCTATACAGTCCAAAATTGTCTTCAGCAAAAGAGTCCCATAAACCATAGTAAAGACCTCGGGATAATTAAAGATGACTTTGTTAATAAAAATGCCATTCTGCAGACTTATATGTAAAACCTGGTAATCCACAATGTTGTTTGAGGTTTCTTTTTTAAAAGAATTATAGCCATTACATGTTAACACGTTTTTAAAAAGCTGCCTGAAATAAGAAATTTTTATTTTAAAAAGACTTCATTCTGTTAATTGACTTTTATAATTTCATATAAAAATTAGGGAAATGATAACTAAGTTTCTATAATCTCATGATACCTCCAAATATGTCAAATATGACTTAAATAAGAAAATTTTAAAATACACTCAAATGTAATACTTTAATGAAGCACTAGTCAAATAATTTTTTATATTCAAGAAAACATTTGTAATTGTTGGTGTCACTGAAAACAGCAATAGTTTTCCCTTTGTTATTTTCTGGCTATGAAAATTTCCAGTACACATATATATTATTAAAGAATGTTCTAGTATATAGCCTGTCTCAAAGTAGGCATACCACTCCTGAGAGTCTATTGTTTCTTCAATACTAAATACCTAATATTATTTCATAATACCAATGGACACACTCACAATATTCAACACTTGATGTATCTTTGCCATCACCATCAGTGTTACACAAAACAATCTGGAAGCACATCTACTAAGTGTGAAGACTGTTCGAATTTGTGCCACTTCTATGATGTAATACATGTGGAAGATACTTTTACTCAAGGCAGGACTTCTGAGTCAGTATTTATTAGTAAATAAAATGGGAGTAAAAGGAGAGTAATCTTGTATTTATTCCTCTGACGACTTAAAGGATGACTTTTTTTAATAGAAAGTGGAAACCACCAAGTAATATAAAATATAAGTAGAATTTTTAAAACCTAATTTTAAAGCTGGAATTGCATGTTATCATATAAAATGACACTGGAATAAAATGAGATATGAGTAGCACAACTAGATGTAATGATTAACCTCAAGCTTTATATCATTATATGGTAGTGTATTTGATGGTATTAAATAATTATTTATCAGTGTTTTATTTATCATTAATATGAAATATTGAAGAGGTAATATATTTTGCTTAAGTTTTATTAAATTAAAGGTCAATAGATTTTCATAACCCTTTCCCATAATGCAACCTAGCCAAAAAGAGATTATTTAACTGGCACAAAGAGTGCTACATGTATTTTGTAAGAATTACTTAACAAATGCATCAGCTACAATTATGTCATCGGGAATTACTTATCCTTACCTTTCTGACTCAGAGTATCTAAACAAAGAACACAAATTCAGAATATACAGAATAGAAGCTGCGTACTTTCATTGACATAGCATATGTTGCTCCCCTATAATATAAACTTTTTCTAGTTCAACTAAATTAACATCATACTGCACTTTAAATGTAAGTATATTTGTCATTGAAGGTATTTGTTTTTCATTTTGCCAGTGGATTAATGATAATATACAATTTGTGTCACATGATTTACACATCTGATGTCTAAAGTCACTCTTATTTGTATTCACTTACAAAACAAATGGCGATCTAGTGTAGCTTCTATAAATCCTGTCATTGTTTTGACCCACATCTCAGGATCATGATCAACAAAACCTTTGAAAATTATGCTTAATATGCACATAACAACTTTGTTTTTGTCACTTACTGCCTTTCAGATAAAAGAGTTGCAACACTGAATTCACTCTCCACTGTCATCAGTACTCAATTTTACAACAGAAAATTAACCATTGAAGAAACAGATTTTCTAAATTGTATTAAAACAACAGTAAAACAAACAAAATCCCGATTCCTATGTTAATTGTTTATTAGCCAGGTTGTAACAACACGTTTTTGTGTGTGTGTGTACTGTAGCTTCTTATTCTAGGGGACACTAATTAGTTTTAAATGGTGTTAAATACCATCCCTGCAGTTGCAAGTGCTTCTCTGGGATTTTTACTAGAGAAAAGAACTCCTGTAATTTAAAACCACTTTGTTTTCCTCAGTCACAGCTGATAGTGAAACAGTGATCTGCAGATGAATTCTTTACGATTTTCACCCTTCTCTCACTGCCATTAATCTGCATTCATTTTCTAACGTGTCTTTTCCTCTGGTACCATTGCTTTCCCATAATTCCCATCCCTTAAATTGCAGCCAGCAGAGAAATGGTATTAGGCTATTTAAGTTCCCCATCTCTCCACTCCCCCTTACAAAGCCTTGGCTACCCTTAAAGAAAATTCTCCAACAACGTGTCAATTTTATATTGGCCACAAAGACAACTTCTGTTGGTTGAGGAAAAGGAAAGAGGGACTGGAGCTTGGCGACTGGAGCTTGGCTGTCCCTTTCCACAGACTGGGATCTTTGTGGCGATCAGAAAACATTTCCTGCATAAGAAATCAACACACTCTCTGGTTGCAGGATTGGGGAGCAAGAACTAATGTGTATCAGCAGTGTCCTTAAAGGAATGGAACACATCCATTAACCTTCCAAACAAGAAAAGTCATTTTCTCAAAATATGTCACGCTTTCTTGCATTATTAAACATAATCCACAATCTCAAATCCTCTGGCAGCTCCCCCACTGGGGATTGGGTGAAAGCTATAAATCATTCCTGCACTTTCTTTTTCTTCCGCATTTCCGTTGCCCTTCCCCTCCTCTCATCTGGCTCTGAGACGTTCCCTCTCTTCATGTATATCAACCGGGGCCCAAGAAGATAAAGGCAAAAATTCACTCTTAAGAGGTGGATAAGGTCTTAAAGGATGAGTGTGTGTTTTCCTTGCACCCGTACCCCGTCCTCAGGTGACTCTAGAGCCAGAAGACCTGGAGAGTTTGTGCGTCTAGTGAGTTCCTCCTGACCCAGGAAAGAGCAACACAAACCCGTGAGATTTTTGCACAAGCACCTCAAATAAAATGCTAGACCAGGAGAGAAGGGGAGGTACCCCTGCCTTCAATTCATGTCCAAACAAGCAAGCTATTGAGCTTACACCACCTCTTAGTCAAGATGTCCCAAGATCAAACCTGGAAATGGGTGAGGAGTGTGAGGGAAGGACTACGTGGAAATAGGAGAAAGGAAGTGAAGTGGACCTTTTGCTGGGCTGGAGAAGAAGGGAGATGTCTATAAATCCATTTCACAGGTGGAGCATGTGTGTGTCACTCCGAGGGGCTGCAGCCTGAATAAAGGCACTCCTCTCCCTCCTCACCAACCTCTAGTGCAAGCTGACTCTAGCTTTATGCATCCTTTTCCTGATTATTCCACGTGCACTTCTAGCACATGCTGATGAGCTATCCAGTCCTCACCGCCCAATCTCTAAAACCCTGAAACCTAAAACTAGCTCAAAAGACCTTTATCTGTGAATAGCACAAATCAAATAAGCCCAAAAGTAACAATAAAGGAGCAATAATTAGGCCTGGGTGTTGAAACAGCAGGTTTTAACTCTATCCCCAAAGTGCTCCCCCGCTCACCTTCCCCTCTCCTTTGGCAGCTTACCTTCTTTGGGTGGTCGCTTGGCCTCCCTGGTAAGATTGCAGACTTGGGTGGTTTGCAGCTCCTGGGTCAGGCAGCCCTCTGTCTGCTCATTCAGGGGTAACACCACGTTATTTAGCAAAATCAGCGACTGGTCGTCGATCCCCCACTCTCCCAAATGCTGAGGGCAGGTGCATTTTGTATACATGATCCCACATGATTCTGTTCTCCCATTTTCTGATTTTAAGCAGCTCTCCAACCAAGTGCATAATACATGGCAACCAAACTGGCTTGGGCTGACCTTGTTCAATACCAAAAACTCAAAAAACGATTTCTGATCTTCTTCCCCTTTTTTCTGTAATCCTGGGAAATCAGTTGGAAATACTCGACGTATTTGAATAAAATTTTTATCATACTGTAGAAAAACGAAAGCATTCTTGGAATTGCAGAGTTGCATTATAGAATGATTCTTTCTTAAAAGATCCTTTATTTTTTCATGGGAAAAATGATCAAACTGATAAGCCAGGAGTGAAAAGTTAGAGCAGCTAAGGTCCTTTTTGGAAAATTTCAGGTAAATGCTATATTTGGTTGGATCTGGATTTTCCAGCGTCCAAGTGCAGTTTGTAAAGTTTTTGGGAAACATTTCACTTACAGAATACGATCCATAAATGACTCCCTTCACCAAAGTTGAACACCAGAAGTCTTGGGCAGCATTAAATCCAAACATAACCAGGAGATAGGTGGAAAATATATAAATCAGCAGGTTACGAACAGCCTTCATCCTATGTCATTTGGCCTGTAAAAATGGCAATGAAAGTAAAATGCAAGTAGGAGTCTACACGCATTAAGAAAATAAACTCCTTTCAATATTACAGCCAGCTGTTTTCAAGATATCAGTAAAAAACCCTTTTCAAAAGAAGGGCAGGTAATTTTTATTTTATAACACGGAAAAATTATCTGTTGCTGTGTGAACAGTGCCCTCATGTGGCCATTCACAATGGTCAAATTCGCAACATTCAATTTAAAAATAACATTTAATAGATTATTAATAGGAAAACCCTAATTTATCTACCAGGATTTCATCTATGTCCATTATCATCCTATAGAATTAAAGGGAAAATATGGAGTTTTAAAACATCGTAATCTAAATGTTAATTGTCAAAATATTATTAATCAGTCTACAGTCTATACCTTTTCTCTCTCTGTCCTCTGCCTGCAGTAAACATCATCACACAAAATCTAATCTGATAATCTTCAAACAGCTGTCATCACATTATTTCTCTTATCTTAAATGTTAAAAGTAATTATAATAAATTATGGCCACAATTTTAAAAGCACAAATGATAATTTGTTACAGATGGAACATCATCTCCCAAATGCCCCACTTGCCTTTGCAGGGGCCAGCATGTGAACTGCTCAGAAATTCCTTTGCAAAAACATGGGCATTCATGTGGATTAATTAATTTTAAAGCATCATTTGAGAAAGGGCATAGGATAAATACAGTGGGGAAACTTGTTGTTCAACGTCACCATTGAGAACCAGGATTTAAGGCAGTCATTTCAATGTGACATGCCCTCTTGGGATACATAAAGTGGATCACTATATTAGTATCTGTATCCAAAGGTGATGTCAGTAAAAAAAATTCCAGAGCCATACTAATTGAGCTGGCTTCAGTCTTTTAATTTTTAAAAAATTATCAACTGTAATTTAAGGTTTACACATGATAATGAAATACATTGGCATTTTTGTCCCTAGCAGATTTCAGTTATTGAACTGCTCCCTTTCCAACAACAACTCCAAAGCTCCTCTTTTCTTTTTCTTTTCTTCTTTTCTTTATTTTTTAATTTCAACCCTGGCCTTGGATAATAAAATAGTCCTTGGTTATATTTACCTCTGTAAGTTGTTATCCAAAAATAACTTGAATATTTTTCAGCTTTAACTTTTAAGAAGTTATTTCTTAGAATAAATGACACTGCCTTTTGTTTGTTTGTTTGTTTGTTTGTTTAGCTTTTGAGCTGATAAAAGTGATGCCAAGTTAATTTTAAAAGTCTTTAGGCTGCAGTCTCTTCCACTGTTCTGTAAACAGAGACAGACATACAGACATATAGATAGTTAAGAGTTTTCATCCCTTTGCCTGGGTCTTCTCTGAACCAAAGGATAAAACCCTCTTCCTTCCCATTGCATAACATACATCAACGCATGCACACCAAATCCAGTGACCAAAGTCCCTGAAGAGAGATCTGCATTTTCCAGATTATAATTCAAATTCTATGTCTTGATATAGGAAAACACAGCCCCAACTCTAAATCTCTATATAGCAGCAGTTTAAAATAGCATCAGAACTGCTGGGACCATCAAAACAGTGTTCTCTGTTTCAAGCAAATAGCTCAATGAATAATGCATTTTCTTCATGAAAAATAAAGCCAATGAGCATTTAAAGGTTAAAAAAAAACGAGAAAGTTGTAAGAAATTTTGGAAATAATTTTCTTTTTTCTTTCTTTTTTTTTTTTTTTTTTTTTGCTGTAGCACTTTGCAGGCAATGCAGGTCTGCGCAGTGTTCTTCAGGATAGAGTGTAGGCGTTGAGAGCCAATGTGACAATAAGAGTCTAAATTAGGAATTCCATACATGAAAGGGGGCTTCATTTTATAATCAGGAACTCAAAAAGAGGTCGTATGTCTTTTCTTAATGAAATTGGTACTTTTGCTTCCATTTATTTGACAGTGCATGTCTGCAATGCCGTGCTCATCAATGATCAGAAAGAATGAGGAAATAGCTCTGAATTCACTTTAATGCCTGCTCGAGAGAGCGCCCTCAATATAATGCTCTTTATTTTTAATCAGTCTGGAGTACAGAGTCTTGTTTTGTTGTAAATAATAAGAAAAAAAATCATTCCCCTACCCCCCTTTAGACTGCAGGGCCCGTTCAAAAAACTGTATTTCCATTTTAAAGAAGGGGTGGGGGCGGGGGTAAAGGCTGGCCACGGAGGTGTCAAGGATGTTTTATTTATTTATTTATTTATTTACCTCTTGCTGAGAAGCAAACCAACATTGAGTTTAGCTATTCTCAAAACTGATTTTCTGGGTGACACTTTAGTTTAGTCGAACATAGACGGCGCCATCACTCCACAGATTTTCCCCCCAATAGAAGACCCACTGCCTTTTCTTAACTTCCTTTTAACCTAAAATTTTTCCCCCGATAAAATTACCCCAATCACACAAAACTGCCAGGTTTTCTAGCTCTCTCTACTTATTCCTTCCGACCCAGCACCTCTCTTGAAAACCAGACTTCTCTAACTTTTCAACTGCGGCGTTTAGACAGCCGGATTTGCTCACAGCCTCCCCATCCGCCAGCAACAGCGTTTCCTTTCTTTTTCCTCCCTTCTCAAACATTAAGCCCAAAGCTTCACGGGGGGCGACCCCCGGCAGAGGGAAGGTGACCCCCGGACCCCCTTCCTTACCTTCCACTCCGAAAGCTCAGGGAGGCTCTTGCTCTAAGACACCAGCACAGGCACGCGTCCCAGCAACAGTGACGGAGAGACTCCCCTTCGGTCCCAATCACCGTTGCCCATTTTCCCCGGCTCAGCTTCCAAAATCAGGATTTATTTTTAAAAATGCACACATACGAAAAGCAAAAGGTGGTGGGTTGGGGGGAGACCAAAGACCAAAGGAGGGGCAGTGAGGAAAAAAAAAAGCCACCAGGAGCCCAGAGCCTGGCCCCTTATCCAACTGAATACAACCTCCAAGCCGAGGGGGGCTAAAGGGAGGGAGAAGCCCCCCCAAAGGAGACTCTATGCAACCCCCCAAAAATGTTAAGTGGCTTAAGAGTGAAGATTTGTTTCATAAAATCTACCCCCAACAAACCGATTAGCCAAGAAGCAAAGAAAGCGCTGAGACGAGAAGTGACTGGCGGCGGCGGCTGCTGCTATGGCAGATTTGTTGGGGCGGTGGGTTTATGACAGGAATATTCGTGGTCGGATCGGAAGGCTCAAGCTCATGCTTTTTCCTCTTTCGCTTTCCTCCCTCCTCCTCCTCCTCCCCCCTGCAGGTACTGATGGACGGACGGCGACTAAGGAGAGGGGGGAAAAATCCTTGGCTGGTGATGTCGGAAAGCTGTTTGAATGCCCAGCGAGGAGGGAGGCGCGAGAGGGAGCGAGATAGTAAAGCTGTGTCTCTGGTGTGCGCGCCCGCGCGCGCGGTGCTCGCTCTCCCTTGGGCGCGTGCGCGGGGGTTGCGCGTGTCCCGGGAGCGTGTCCGCGCAGCGGCCTCCCGCGTGCTCGGGGGCGCTCGCGTCCCTGGTGCCGCGCGCCCCTCTCCGGCACAGTTGCGGTGCGCACTGCCGCCCGCCAGAGGCTCGGCTCGCGCGGCACAGTCGCTGAGACTTCCTGGAGTTCTGCCTCCCGGGGGCGCGGGCGGGAGTGTGAGAGAGAAGGCAGGGGAGCCGCGAGGTGGGAAAGGAGGGAGAGGAGGGAGTCCCGGCGGGAGGGCGGGGGAGAGGCGGGCGGGAGGGTGCTCCGAGGAGCTCCAGCCAGGGCCGCGGTGCGCCTGCACGTCACGGCTGCTCAAACCCAAGCACGTCCCGAAAGCGGTATTTTCTGCGTCTGGGAGGTTTTTGCATCCTCAGTTCCCACCGCTGGGGCTGGCGGCGACCAACTGTAAGAGAAACGCACTAGGAGGCAAGGCAGGGGGGTGCGGTGGATGGGAAGGCGACTCTGAAGGGTGGGAAGTGAATGCAGGACTTGATCGTCGTTTTCTTTCTGTCTTTCAGCGTGGACCTGACGCAGCCAGAGAGCTGTCATTTCAGCACTGGGATTCAGAATTGATCCAATTCGCAACGGAGGGGGCACATCCCAGCTCCCGAACTGCTGCATGTCTCTGGCTGGAACAATAGTAGTTTTTCTCTGGAAGGCTGCAATTAACATCTTATTTGTTCTGGCTCCATACAGGCTTTGTCAGGACCGCGGTGCGGCGACCGAGGTTGGGCTCTTGCATTGCTTTCTGCTTGGCAATGGAATCATGGTTTCGGGGTCTAAACTTTTGTTTTGTTTTGTAGTCTTAATGTATCTGATTCTTTTTCAAGTTTCCTTAGTAACAGGTTTGGGGACGGGGTGGGAAGAAAAGGGGTGAAGAGAAACAACCAGATTACATAGAAGGGAAAAAGGGAAAAGAGATAAGTTTCCCCACGTTTTAATCTATCTGCCTGTCTATCTAGCTATCATCTATCAGTCATTTTGCCTCCTGGACAGTTGGCTGACGAAGTGTTTGATAAACTAGCTCAGATACATGCTGCAAAAGGTCATTCTCTTCCTGATTATGTCTGTACTTGTAAACGCAGTTGGTGGTTTGCAAAACAAGTGCTAAAATAGTGCAGTGATGTGGTGGGAGGAAACCATAATGGGCAATTGATATAAAGTGCTGGAATCTTCTTAAGGGTGACTTTCTCCAGCGACAGGTGAAGTTGAATAAAGCAATTTTCCATCATTTGTTCCCCTCACTCTTTTGCATTTTTTTCCTCTGCTTGTTGTTTCTCTCCCCCGGGGCGATTGTGGATAGCCAAGAACACCATTTTAAAAGAGGCTGATAGTGAAAACAGGAAGATGTTGATGGTCTTTTATCCACTGGAGTTGTTTGAAATGTTGTAATTGGCCCTCTACTTCTTATACATATTAATAGAGTGACCCTCTTCAAGGCTTTCCCTTTTTAAACGAGTGCCTGGAATAACACTCTGTTAGGCAAACAGTTAATCATTCCCCAGCAGGCTTTAACTATTTTCCCAGTAACAAATCACTGGCAAGAGAGCAGCCTGGGTGGCATTTTGGTTTTGTGGCATTTTGGTTCCTTACAATATTTTTTATTCATTTAAGGAAATGTTAAAAGGAAATAGGGTTTATGTCCAGAACAAATTTTGAAAAATCGTTTAAGCAAACACATTTTCTTTTAAAAACAAAGAACATTGAGCAACACAAAGGAGAAAAACATTTTATTTATTTCAGCTTCCCTGGAGATTGTAATCATGATTTTTGCAAGGCAATTTGGTTAGTTCTGTTACTTTACCCAAATGAAAAAAATCATGATAGATGTGGAATAAAAATAGAGAAAAAATTCTTTTATACATAAAAAGGAAATAATGTAATGTGAGATTCAGTTATAGTTCTATTTTTCATGTAGTGATTTCTCATATTATCTTTTAACACTTGATTTTGATGTTTTTTAGAAATTCTTAGTCATGACACAGTGGCATAAGAATAACTGTTGAAAGGAACAATTTAAAAGTCTTAATGCTAAATGGAAAGGATCACTTACTCCTGGGATCATTTATATTCAAGTAGAATGCAGGGCAGGGTCAGAAAAGAAAGCCACCCTTAATAAAGCGCTTCACCCTTCACACTGTTTCTCATAACCTTCATAAATTGCAGGCTACTGAGCTGGTCTGATGATGATCCTGCTGAGATGTATTTATAGCAGATGATTTGTGGATGATAAATATGCCAAGTAAGACACAGTCTCCAGTAACCCCAGGCTCATCTGACTTCCTCAGGGGACTATAATCAAGAATCACAAAAAGAACCCTCTATGGACAGTCTGGTCTCTGGACACTAACAACAGCACAATCCAAAGGCAAATCAAGGGGGAACCACTTTGTTTCATGTCTGCAAGATGCTCCATGTGAAAGCATTGCTGACAATGTTGACCCAACAGCAAAAAGAGAACAGCAGTTTACACACCCTCAGCTCTGTCCTTTCAGTCCTATTGATGTTGGTCCACTTTTATGATTTAATACATATTAAAATCACCATTTCAAATTAGTATTATCTGCTTTCATTGGTCTCTTTCACAAGTCCAAGTGTATGTGTTTATATATATACAAACACATATACATATATTTTATACATATGTGTATATGTATGTACACATTTGTAAGAACACATACACATATGTTTATATATAGAATATGTATATTTCAGTTGGTACACATATATTTAGTTGGGAAGTTTTGCTACATTGCTTTGTATTTCTCTTTGATAAAGTGATGCATTTCCTTTCAAAACTTCCAAATTAATGTATAAACTGATTATTATATAAGTTTCCTTGCTGACTTACAAAAGGACTATTGAGAGGTCAATGTTCGCATATTGAAATATGGAGTGGTATTGCATTTTAGATTGACCGAAGTATCTAGTGTTAAAGGCTTTCAAATTTATCTCTCCTATTAATTCATTTCATTAAGATGAGTTTGGAATAATGGGGTTTCAAAGTATAATTTATCTTTATTTTTCATCTGTTTGTGTGTTTTAAATTTAGTCCCTTCGTTTTGAGAATAACCCTACACTCCAGGATCATTGTTTAAAATTCAGTATCATTGCACAATTCTCCTACTCAGTAAGAATGTTTCTAGAATATGCTTGGTCAATTGTAGAAAGTGTTTTCTGTTTTTTCTCTTACAGTCTTTCTGGTATTACTACCACATTCTAAATTCTGTAACTTGTTATTTTCAGTAAGGCTTTAAGAAGCATGGATAGGTTTGTAGGTTACTTCTTGTTAAATATGCCTTAATGTTTTAGTATTTGGTATTTAGATATATACATATCCCATACATATATGATATATATTAGATTATATAAGATATATACATACCCACATATATATATTAGATTATATGTCTTAGATATATACATATCCCCAATAAAAAATTAAGGCATATTTAGTAAAAACGTACTATATATATATGGTAGATATATATACACACACACACACACATACAGACACAAAGCTTTTGGAATGTTAATTAAATGATCAAAATATTACAAGATTACATTATGAGTACTTAACTTACCATTAAAAGTAGCATATTTACAATAAACAGAAACAGTTTCTTCCTCTTCTTCTCTGACTCCTCCTCATTATTATTATTTTATTATTAAAAAAGGAAGTCTCTCAGGAACCAAGCTGTATTTCCTCTAGTATCTATATAAAAACAAATTGGTTATTTTCTACTTGGACATCCCAGAATAGAAAGTACATAACAGTACTAAAAAATAAAGGGATAGAGTTGCGGTTAAAGGAGATGTCATAGAACAGCTATCCTGGGTTCGTTCAAGTGTAACCCTATTCCATGCTAGACAAAGTCATGGTTAAATTTAGTCCAAAAATCCCAGTTACATCAGGTTTCAATTTTTTATCACTATTTCCCTATACAACGATACAAGTTAAAAAAGAAAAGTTGGTAAATGCTTTTGGCGATCAATTTTCAAGTTTTCATTGGTGGCATTCTGGAAATGCTGTAAGTAAATAACACATAGTGTCACATTTGTGTGTTGTAGCAACATCTTGGAAAATATGGACTTTAAAAGCTCACAATGTGTGTTTGTAATGAAACATAAATTTACCTCTAAATTTATCCTTTTTCAGCTACTTTGTTTTTCATATAAAGTTACTATATTTACACCATTATCATTAATCTCTGAAATTTCAGGTATACTAGAAATCAAGATTCTTCATTCCTCACTAAGGACAAGAAGCTGTGAATTCTCTGGACTTCAGTTATCTCACAGAAAAGAGCTTGATTGTGTAATGTCTAATGTTCTTCCTGACATATTCTAAATAACAGAAGGTGTCTCACAAGAAACAGAAGCAGTGAGAGAAAAATGCAATAAAATCCTACACAAGAATGAATCAGTTTTTTCACTCACAGGCTGGAAATGCCTCTCTATTCTATCATAATTTTGAACACCTCCATAGTTTTACTAGCTTTTCCCTTCCGGCCTTGCTATCATCTGCTGATGTACAGACAGTCCTTTCCATTTTTATTATTCTCCCACTCTAATAATTTTCTTTTCTTAGACAGAAGTCTTACTTTACCATTAATGATGACAATAACTAAAGCTGCCAGGACCAGCACATCTGCTGACCTTTACCAACACCAGGTGGTCTATGGACCACCCATTATTTCTGAACATTCGTCGATATTCACTCCGGTTCCTACCAATTCTGATCCACTTATATCCACCATTTCTTTTCCTGCCAGATTCTCTCATTTTGCCTTCTGGATCTCCATGCTCCTTTATACCAACAAGCAAGAGGGAGAATATTCTCTCTACCTGCTTCATTAACTGAAGCCTGCTCTTATGAAGACATGACATCTCTTCCAACTATGTCAAACAAGCAATTTGTGGGTATGCTGCTTCCACACCCTGATTAAATGGGTCAGTGGCAGAATCAGTATCCTTACTCTCCCCTTTGGTTTCACATCTTTACTTCTCATTTCACTTTCATGCCCACCTTTTTGTAGAGATCATGGCATCTGCCTTTGCCTCTTCCTCCAGGTTATATTTTCCAGTCATGGCATCTTTTAGCTGCCAGCTCACAGTTTTCCTATCTACCTGACTTCCATTCCTCTTCTCACGACTTCAACACCCATGCAGATGTCTTATCCTGACACACTAGCTTCATTCTATTTCTGTTTTGTTTAGTTTAGTTTTGTTTTGTTTTTTAATACCAGTTCAACCATATTTCCCTGTGGTCTTTAACTAAAAAGTCTAACTAGTGACTAAACCACTTCCAATATTTAAAATTTAATGTTTCAATTCTCTAATTACAACCTTCTACTTTTATAAACTCACCTGCTAAGTAACCACATGGAATCAAGTCTTTCACAAAATTCAGATCTTTATTTTATTGATTACCACCAATTTCTGCTCTTATCTTCATTTTCTTCCTTATACCCTGTGGTAGGCAGCCTCTAACATAGACCCAAATGATCCCTACTTCCTGGTATGTAGTCCTTGTGTAATTATCTCTCTCTTGAATGTGGACTAGATTTAGAAATTTGCTTTTATCAAACAGAATATGGTAATAGCAATGGGATGTTAAGATATAAAATGACTGTTTCATCTTGGGGTCTCTTTTACTCTTCCTTAGACCACTTGTTTGCCAGTAAGCCAGGTGCCATGTTGTGGTGCAGTCCTCAATAGAGAGGTCCATGTGAGTCTGCCCTTCTGAGGCCTATCAAAAGACACATGAGTGAGCTTAGAAGTGGAAGCTTCCTCACTCAAGTCTTGAGAGAACTTGTCCAGCCAATGTCTTGGTTACTGCTTCGTGAGAGACTGGAGCCAGAATCAAGCAGCTAAGCTGCTTCTGGATTCCTGATCTACAGACAGTATAGGTCAGGAATGTTTGTTGCTTCCAACTGCTAAATTTGGGGATAATTTGTTATGCAAAAGTAGGTAACTAATGCATACCCCATGGATTCCACACCCATCGTTATAATAATTTACTTACAAAATTCTTCAGCTGTCTACTACATTTTCCTGGCTGAATCGCCATACTTACTGTAATACACAACTGCCCTTCGGGGGCCCATGCACCAGAGCATTATTGAAGAAATTCACACCCTCAGGCAGTTAGATGTCCCTGTAAATTTACAGTCACGAGGTTCTCATGGCCTCACCACACAGACTATTACTTATAAGTTCCTTCTCTTATTGTATCCTATGAATGTTTTGTAACTTTGATTATTAAAAATGCTTCTTAACTCTTGAATTATAAGTGATAAACTTTTTTCACTTGTTATTTATAAAATAGATGTGATTAGATGGAAATGCCTTACATTCATTAAACTGATTGTACCTTCACCCATTTTCTCCTCTCTTCATATCTCCAGGGAGATGCTGCCCTTATCTAAGAAGCCAGCCCCTCTACAGGTAACTTGGATCTTACTTCTATCCGCTCTCATACCAATACTCTCTCCCTGTCTCCTGGACCACTTTGATTGGCATACATATTTTATAGCAATAATACCTGTCTAAAAACGTCTGATAAACAACCTCTTTCTCAAATCCCCTTCATAAACAATCTTTTTTAAAAAGCTGCCACATTCACTTCACTTCCTCACTTCCTTCTCATTTCTCAACTCAATCCATTTTGGCTTCCACCCCCACAATTCCACTGAAAAATTCTTGTCAAAAATCACCGAAGACCTTCATGTTGCCAAGTTAAAGGGATAAATGTTTTTCTCATCTTACTCCAGCTTTCAGCAGCATTTTAAATGCAATGCCCTCCTTTTGGAAACCACTTCTATTTTGGTTTCTGTTTTAGCATACTCTCCCAGATATACTTTTACATCACTGATCGCTTAGAAGACACTGAGACACTTCTGAGTGTCTTTTACTTGTTCTTCCACATGAACTTGAAATGCTGGCTGCTTTAGAGATAAGTGTTGGATATGCTTCCCTTATTTCTCCACCACCTCTTCCTTGGTGGTCTAATCCATTTCCTAATATAGAATATCACTATAAAAATGTATACATACATACACACATAAGAACAGACACCCCATGTATGTCCCTTTAACAAGGATATCTGCTCTGAGCTCTAGATTTTTAAATAATCAACTTCCATAATTAATATCTCTACCAAATATGCCTCACAGTCATCTCAGATTCAGGGTAACTAAAGGAAGATTCCTGATTACTCCAAAGAAATGTGTTCTTCCCTTAGTCTTTCTGTTTGAGGAAATGGCATCCCTATCCACCTAGTTATTCAGTTGGCAAACATGGGAATGATGTTTGCTGATCATTTTCTATCACTCTACATCTAATCCCTTGACAAATATTGGCTGTTTTATTTTGTGTAAGTTTCCCAGGGCCATCATAATAAAATTACACAATGTGGGTGGTTTAAGCAACAGAAATTCATTTTTCCCCCCACACTTTTGGAGGCTAGATGTCTAAAATCAAGTTGCCTATTGGACTGGTTCCCCTGGGGCCCCTTTCTCTAGCTTGCACATAGCTGACCTCTTACTGCCTCTTCAAATGGGGTGAGGGGAGTGCGGAGATGGGCACAATTCAGCTGATGATATACTCTCAATACACACATCTCAAACCTAACCAGTTCTTTCCCTTTTCCCTGGCCATCCTTTTTTGGTAAAGCATATAGTTTTTGCCTAGTCTTTTCTTTTATCTATTTATATATATATTTTAAAATGTATTTATTATACTTTAAGTTCTGGGTACATGTGCAGATCGTGCAGGTTTGTTACATAGGTATACATGTGCCATAGTGGTGGTATGCTGCATCCATCGCCCTGTCATCTACATTAGGTATTTCTCCTCATGCTATCCCTCCCCAATCCTCCAAACCCCTGCTACCCCTCTCCTAGCTCTACCCCCCAACAGGTCCCGGTGTGTGGTGTGTGATGTTCCCGTCCCTGTGTCCCTGTGTTCCCCATTATTCAACACCCAGTTATGAATGAGAACATGCAGTGTTTTTTTGGTTCTTGTGTCAGTTTCCTGGGTGTTGAACAATGAGAACACAGAGACACAGGGAGGGGAGCATCACACACGGGGCCTGCGGGGTGGGGAAGCTAGGGGGTGGATAGCAGGGGGTGAGGGGATTGGGGATGGATAGTATTAGGAGAAACAGCTAATGTAGATGATGGAGCGATGGATGCAGCAAACCACCCCCATGGCACATGTATACTTATGTAACAAACCTGCACTATGCGCACATGTACCCCAGAACTTAAAGTATAATAATAAAAAAACTATCTCTATTAAATTATACTTCAAAAATGTATGCCTTTAAAATCAAATGGAAAAAAATTTAACTCGTTACTTCTCATAACACAAATAATAAAATTCAAACTTTAATTGTGGCCAACAGTGCCCTACCTCATCTGGTCCCCTCTCTAACTTCATCTTGTGCCACACTTCTGCTTACATATAATGCCCAAGCTATACTAACCTTTTTTTAAGTCGCAAGGACACTACATTTTTATCTCCTTACAATCTTCCAATGTCAAGATCATTCTACCTGGAATAAAATTCCCTTTTTTTCACTGCTAGGAGAAACTTTATAGGCCTGCCCTGCCTGGTTCTCATGCCTCAGATTTCATCTTGAAAATTCCCTTTTAAGAGCTTTTAAATTTTTTTTTAACCACTCAATTTATGGTGCTCTCTCCTTGTGTTCTCTTTCAAGGTACTTATCTCTTTTTTTTTTTTGTACTCAAGTAAACTTTTTTTCCCCCTTTTTTAAATTATACTTTAAGTTCTGGGATAAACGTGCAGAACATGTAGGTTTGTTACATAGGCATACATGTTAGAATGTTCTCACTCATAAGTGGGAGTTGAACAAGAGAACACATGGACACAGGAGGGGTAACATCACACACTGGGGCCTATCTATCTGTTTTATTCTAGTTACCATTTTTATCTAATTGGTCTTCATCTTTTTTTTTTATTAGTATGTTAGCTCCATCATTACAAACTCCTGCCTAATATAGTACAAGACACATAGTGAGTGCTACATTTTCTATCGCTTAGAAAAATCTCACGATAACTGTTATGAAATCTAAAGACCCATGGAGAATTTAGCAGTAAACCAAGATCAGAATGCCTGGTTGAATAAGGCCATGAAGCACACACACACACACACTGCCCTTCACCTCCTCAAATATTTTTCTAGCAATTATCTTACTAAAATTTTTACACACATATATAGAGGAGCTAAGTCGTAACAAGGTAAGCGTACTGGAAAGTGAGCTTGGAAAACCAAAATGTAGCTTAACCTAAAGCATCTGGTTTATACCCGGAAGAGCTTGTCACAGCCTGATCACTTTGAGCTAACGCTAGCTCTTAATCTTTCTAATAATACTATCATGTTGTCTTAACCAAATCACTTACCTGAAATAAAGTATAGGCGATAGAAATTTTTACTCTATGCACTGCTGGTTCATATTAAAATGACAGTTAAAATACATTGATCTAAATATTTATTTATATTTATAATTAACTATTTATTACTTTATACATTTGAATTTGTGACCTTAAGTGTGTATGTTTGTGTGTGTATGAAAGAGAGAATGCAAGAGAGAGGGAGAGGGAGAGAGAGAGAGAGACATGCATACAGAAAGAGAGATACACAAAAAAAACCGCGACATATAATAACAATTTATTTGTCTCATAAATATGCAATCTGCGGAAGCCTTTGCTGTTAGAACAGCTTGTCTTTTGACACTGTCTTTCAAGGGTCAGCCTGCACAAACTGAGTGTGAAGATTCCTTGTCCAAAATAGCTACCCCTATGACTGGCATTTGGTACTAGCTGTTGGCTGAAAGCTCAGTAGGAGTTGTAACAGAGGATGTAGTACCTCTTTACACATACCATTCAATAGGGCTGCTTGCTCTCCTACACAGCATTGCAGCTGTCTTTCCTAAGTCAGTATTCCAAAATATAGGAAAAGAAATCTGTCGGTGTTTAAGACCTAGGTCTCTAAATTGGTACAGATTTATATCTGACATTATTCTAAGTCAAACAGTCACTAAGCTTGTTCAGATTCAAGGTGCTGGTGGAGGGGACTGCACTGGTTGGGGAGAGAGGTAAAAAATCTCTAGATCTTAACATAGTCACCATTCTCAATGAAAGGAATAGCAAAGAATCTGTGAAATGTGGTGTACACTGTTCACTGACATATTCTTGCTGGATTCTATCATTTAATATGTTAGATATTATTCCATAATCAGTGACATCTACAGATCTGAAGTGCTTTCCAAGAAATCAGTGGCCAGTGTTTCAACATAGTGTCAGTAACATACAACTGGAACCATTTCTCCATTATAATGCAATATGATTGAAGGATTGTAAACATAGTGTCAGTAACATACAACTGGAACCATTTCTCCATTATAATGCAATATGATTGAAGGATTGTAAACATAGTGTCAGTAACATACAACTGGAACCATTTCTCCATTATAATGCAATATGATTGAAGGATTGTAAACACAGTGTCAGTAACATACAACTAAACATACAAACTTCTAGAGGGCAAGGATATTATCATGTGCCATAATATCAGCCTTTGGACAGCACTTGATAAATATTGTTTGCCTAGCTCACTAATTGAGATCCTTTTAGTCATTATAGAATGTTATTCAGCCAATCCATATTTATCTTTTCTTTCTTCAGGAACATGATAGATTATTTTAAATACCTTGTAAGAGGAAGAAGAATAGGTACTATGCTTACAACAGTCCTTCTGTGATATCCCTAGCAGTTGTTAAATTAATAGTATTGTTTCTTAGTATAGCCATGCTGGTGTCTATTTCTCCCCATTTTGTTTACTATACATTCACAAGCCACCTATTCTGTAATATATTTTGTAACTTTTACAGAGATTAATATTAAATCTAAATAGTTTATAAAATTTAATACACTACAATTTCTAGAATTCAGCCCTTTTTCCCATTTAAAATAGAGGCAGTCTTTATCACTTACTACTATTTGTGTTCCCTGCCAACCTATTTTCCAAGATGTTTCAAACACAGTTGGAAATACTTTAATAAGAACACCTATACTTTCTTTAAATATACCATGATATAATTTGTGTAGTCCAGGACATTTGAAAAACTGATAAAGTACCCAAAGATTCTTTTATTTTCTTGATTTCTCGGGTATCATTTTACTCGTAAACATTATTGGTCCATACTTTTAAAGTGAAAATAATTATCTTTTGATTGAAGATAGAATCAAAGTAGGAACTGAGTAATGCTTCCTCCTGTCTTCTTATATTATTAAACATCTGTGCCATAAAGGCAGAATCTTTTTCACATTTCCTGTTATTTTTGCACATTTGAAATTTTTTACCTGTTTTATCCATTTCTTTATATAGGATTCTTTCTTTTATTCTAATATCCTTAATTTTTAAAATCTTAGAATGAGTGTTTCTACTGATCCAAATGACTGACTGGTATTATTTTGATCATAGTTAACAAGAGTTATATATATTATCAATTTTCAACCATTTTAATATTTAAACAAAATTTCTTGAAGATAAATTTTTTTTATCAAAAATTTCAAGGCTTGGGGGGGAAATCTGTTTACTAAAATCCTTCATATATATGCTGAATGTTTAATACTATAGAGAATTTGAAAGTCTCAATTATAGAAAAGATAATTTTTATAGTAGGTTATTTGATTTTGCTATTGAAGATTAAATCTCAAGCAGATTCACCATTTCTATATTAACACTGTCTTTCTATAATCTTAATTGCTTTTATGAAGGAGAAAATTGGTAAATAGCTAATCAAATGCTCTGTTTTTCAAAGCCATCTGACCTACTTAATTGTCTCTTTCAATGTCAACATCTGAAATAATTTCTCTGTATCCTACAGCCCCTTAAGTAAAATTTCGAAGTTGATGCTGGCCAGCTTGCAGGCACAACAATCAGGTGACATTTTAATCCTTAGGACATTAACTATAAAGCAGTTATTCAGTGACTTAAAGAGAAAAACACACTGGTAATTTGATATCAATTATCTGAATGTATCCTCACATCTTTGTTATAGAAAAGGAAATGGATTCAGCATGCATTTTATTAATCCTTTTCCCTTTGTGCCTCTCTTGAATCTAACTGAATTAGAAATAATAAAAACTTCACTTTAATCTGTCATTAAGATAAGAAAATGCAGATCCACATCAATTTATTTAGTCTCCCCATAGGCTACGAATGAAGTATCTTCATTGAACAAGTGCTACCTTCTGAATTACTGAAGGTACAAAACAGGAAAAATTTCATGTTTCACACATGCAATTGTATTTTAATTTAACTCAGAATTTTTTTTTTTCATGCTGTCCTCATTTCAGGACCCTTGGTAACAACAAAATATATACCAAGCCAATTTTTCAAAACTAACTTATAAATTTGGGAAAATAATCTAAATTAAGCCCAAATATTGGCAATGATGAATCATTCAATTTATCCACTCCCCATTACTCTATAGCAACTTTGTCACAGAGTTACAGAATAGAATTATAGATTTTTAAAACCATAAGAAACACTAGAAACAATTTACTCCTGTGTTTCTTGAACTTGTTTCATCATCAGTGTAAACTGGTGTGTTCACTAAAATACATATACCCTGAGTTCCTTCCACAAAGATTCTGATTCTTTCAGCTTTTTAGCCTTATGTTTTTAAACATAACCATAAATGATTCCTATGATCAGACAAGTCTGGGAAATAATGATATACTTTCAGGTCCTTGGTTTATAGATAAGGAAACTGAGACACAATCACCAAGAACAAACAGCCCAGTATTACCCAGTGAAGTAATGACCAAGTTGAAATGAGAATCCAGGTTTTGGTGGTCTATTACTTTTTCATATTTTCAAAATCATTTATATTTTGATATGTTTTTCTTTTAATTCTTGAGATAATTCTTTATTCTTTTCTCTGGAGTACATTTATTTATTATCATATTTCTTGAACAAAACTATGCTGTATTATCTTTTCTTATTTGTTAAGATATAGGCATTCTATCCTGGGACCTGCATTGGAACTACTTATAACAGGCACCCTTCAATTGATGTGAAGCCATTCTGGTTACCTTGTTTTATCCTGGTCCAGACAGAGAACTGATCAAACATCTTATAACCACTGAGATTGTTGATGAGTACAATTGAAGACTCAGGGAGGAAATACAATTCCTTTCAAATTAATTAATTAAAATTATAAATGGACTTCATGGAAGTGAAAGAGAACTATTCATAGAACTAATAAAATGTTATCAATGCACCCATTTAAGAAGAATGTTTGTTACACCTTTGTTCCAGCAGTACATATGCCGTATGTGAAATCTCAAAGGAGATTATCATTGCCCACAGTGCAAAGATAACCAAAACACAGCAGTGATGCAATATAGCTTTTGAGACAGGCCAAAGTTTGAATTCTGACTCAGCCTCCTAATAATGTTGTAGACTTGGAGAAATCATTTTACACCAAGTTTTAGCATTTTTTTTAAAAAAACAATTATTAAGGTAATACTGCTTACTTAACACTAATATAAAGATTAAGAACAACATGGAAAATGCCAAATACAGTGGCAGAAGTAAAAGGAACTTTAAGAAGTGGTAACTATTGGTGCTGTTGACAAGCATATTGTATGACTGAGTTAAACACAGAGAAAGTAAAGACGGATACAAAAGCCTCCTGTTCTCAAGGCAAAGAAAAGCTTTGGTCTGAAATACTGTAGATAGCACTGAGCAGAGTGAAGAAAAATGGTTCTATATCTCACATTGTAACAATGGTCTTACATTTTATTAGACTAGAGACTACTTGCCTTACCAAATTTATCAAGGACTCAGCAAAGTTTAAAAAAGCATATATAAACATTTCTATGCTATGGTTTACTAGTTCAAATATAATTATTTAAGCTTAACTGCTTCTACATATTTTTCAATGCAAAGCAAAATAAAATCTAGATATAGAAAACTATTTGCATCAGGCAGTTGTCTTGAGGTAGTAACTTTTATGCCATGACATTTGGCGTCCGATTGGTTATCTGTAAATTCTGAACATGTTTAAATTCTCTTCAAAAATATTATGTATATGATAGTGTTGATTTATGTTTTCACAAGTAGTATTTAAAACATAAATCTGTTCTTACTTCTGAATACAACGCCCAGTTACAAGTAACATATAAAACCAGCATTCAGATACATCCCTAATGATGTTGAAGAATTTTTCATTTAATCGAACTTGGGTAATGAAAAATTTATCTATAATTCAGGATAAATATGGTAATTTTAAATTCAAATTTAGATTTCTTTCTGTGAAAACAGAAATAATAAACTATCAAAATATCTATTAAAGTATTCATACAAATGAGAAAGTATTACTGGAATCTGTAAACCTACTTTTCATTCTTGATTATTGAAGAGTAATCACCATAATTCTCAACAGTGGCAAAATATTCAAGGCATGTGTTAACTATAACAATTTTCATGTTTTTGAAATCTACATGATTAAAAGTTTGTTGAAAGAGGCATTGAATGTAAAGTTTTATTCTGAGGTGAATGTTTCTAGCTAATGTCAGACTACTTAAACCCTTTTGAAAAAAAGAGCATATGACTTTGGCAGTATAATTGAGTGCTTCTATATTAAGTCTCAAGAAATTGGAATATTAAATTTCTGTCATGTGCTTACAGTAAAGAGCAGATTGTAATAATCATTAAAAATTTAGATCATAAAAATTAAAATTTAAGGTTAAACTCTATAGCTGTTTCCAGGTACTGAAGTTTTCAAAAGGTGTTAAGCGGTGTTCTAGGATCATTACTATGGGTTACTAAATTGCAACATTCTTTTGAAGCAATTATTAAGGGGTAAGAGTTAATTTGTCACAATGACCAATATTTTCATTTCCTAAAAATTGTTGAGTCTGTCCATTAATACAAAAAGAAAACCAGATTGGAGACCTTGGGAGAGAATATTGTATGTGTTTTAAGACAAATTCATCTTACTCTTCTGAGTCTTTATAAAGAATCACTTTGTAGCAAAGAACTCTATGTCTATGCCCATAGAGTTCATAAAAAATTGTGAAATTCCATTAAAATTCAATAGGAATTTTAGAATCAGGTCAGCTATCCTGTTAGGTAAAGAAAATTGATGTTGATACCTGAACAGCATATGAGATCAAGAATAATATACCAAAAGAGGTTTCTTTCCTCTTCATATATTTTGCTCATGTCTGTTGGAATGTGGAATGGAACCAGATTCTACTAACAAACCTAAAATTTGATCAAATTCCTATATCATCCATTTGACAACTTTGATATTTTAATTACTCTTTGGAACCCGTTTGATTTTTCTCTTGTCAGTGTCATCTTTGTGTTCCGTCTCTCAGCTTTTAGGATTTTCTCTTAATTTTTAGAATTCTGATATTTCACCAAGCAATGTGTAGGTAGGTAAGATGCTTTCCCAGTAAACCTGCTCCACACTTGGTGGGCCCTCCCTTTCCTTCCTTCCTTTCTCTTTTTCTTTCTTTCTTTTTCTTTTTCTTTCTTTCTCTCTTTTTCCTTTCTTTCTTTTTCTTTCTCTCTTTCTCCCTTCCTTCCTTCCTTTCCTCCCTCCCTCCTTCCTTCCCTCCTTCCCTCTCTCCCTCCCTCCTTCCCTTCTCTCCCCTCCCCCCTTTTCCTTCAGGGTCTTGCTTTGTCATCCAGGCTGGAGTGCAGTGGTACAGTCCTGATTAACTGCAGCCTTGACCTCTCAGACTTAAGTGATTGCTTTTCCCACTTCAACCTCTGGAATAGCTGGGACTGCAGGCATGCATCAGTATGCCTGGCTAATTTTTTTGTTTTTGGTAGAGACAGGGTTTTGCCATGTTGGCCAGGCTGATCTCAAACTCCTGAGCTAAAGCAATCCATCTGCCAAAAAGAAAAAAAAAATTACTCTTTTAACACAAACATTTCATTTCTATCTTTTCCCCACATCTACAATTAGAAACTTATATCAAAGATGGAATTATTGGGTAAGATTAAAATAACATTCGATACTAGAGAATGAGAAATGAATATTTAAATGAAATCTCTAGTAATGAGAATGAGAAATTATCACCTAGTTAAAATAATCTGGTAAGTAAATTAGCTGGAATCTTGTTACTGTAGTCCTATGACATAAATACATAGATGATGATAGATGGTAGATAGACAGATAGATAGATAGGTAGATAGAGATGGTGTTAATAGGAGTCTTCTATGTCTCCTGAGATCTTAGTAAGAATGCTTAAAAAATCCAATTTAATATTTGTTGAAATTACTAACCCCTCAACACACAATTTGACATTGTACATTAGACATTCATGTTCCTAAAATTTTCTTTAACTGTAGCCCTGTTCCTTTTCCATATTCTTTTCCCCAATTTCTTCTGATTTTCTCCAGGAAAAATGACCAGAACATTATTTTATCTTCTCTTGAAATCCTTGTACTTCTGTTGTCAAATCATATTTCCAAGCAACTCACTAATGCATTTTCCAAAGATATTTGTTTCCTCCCTGAGAAATGTCATGGTGCCAGCTATAAAGATAATTAATTTAAATATTATATAACTAAATAAACATCCACATTGATACTGATATTGCTGATTATATTTTACATATCATCTTGGCTAAGAAGGTTAATTCTGAAATCAGAATCCTGGGTTTAATTTGTAGTATTGCCACTTACTCATTAAAGGTTTTTAACTTTTATTGAAACCTGATTTCTTCAACAGTAAGGTGGGGTGGGATGTATAGTCTTCACATTGGACAGTTGTAGAATTAATCATAAGAAGTATAAATACTGATTACGGTCCCACCCAGTCATAGTCAGTTTTCTTACATATAAAATGGAAATACTAATAGCAACTACTTTCTAAACTTAATATGCTGTATAAGAGGAAAATGCAACTAAAATGCTAGCACAACTCATGGTTTACATCAGTGCGTAATATATTTTATTGCTACTACAATTAGCAATAAATGGTGGTAACAACACCGTTTTTCTATACACAGTATCTCTTTGATATATCTTGCAATTAATTATAACAAATGATAATTATTTATATTATTGTAATAATATTTTTACAAATAATATTAAACAAGATAGTTTATTATTAACCACTCTAGAAACAATCATTTCTACTGGGTCTGCATGTTCAAACTTGAGCATTAGCATTTATTTAATAGATAAGTATAAAATTGTAAAAAATACACACTCTCCATTTCATGATTTAGATGTCCAAATCATTATTTAGCAGTAAAGTTCACATAAAAAAAAGATAATTTGTAATCCATGTTATTCACATATCTAAATGTTTATAATAGGAGCACAGTCTTCTGGGGATAGTCTTCATAAATTAGTGTTTCTTATATAGTTAGATCCTTAAACATTGTGCAGGTTAGGGGCAACGAAACCAAAGAAGTGAAAACCCATATATTACTTTTGATATCCCAAATCTTACCTGCTAATATAACCTGCTGTTGACCAGAGTCTTTACAGATAACATAAACACTTGATTAACACATAGACTAGTATTTACATATATTTTATGTATTAATGACATACATTTTTTTCTTACTGTTTTTGATATTTCTAGACTGCATGGTTCATTGCAGTTTTTTTCAAATTGTCATAAATCTCCAAAAATTCTTTCAATATGTTTATTGAGAAAATATCTGGATATAAGTGGATCTGCACAGTTCAAACCCCTGTTGTTCAAAAGTCAACTATATATTTATACTATGTATTTTGACAAGGCTAATACAGGGAGCAGTAAGACAAGAAAAACATGTCTATAACGGTATTCAATTGAATCAAAATAATTAACTTAGAAAAGTAAAAGTGGGTTTCTATGTATTATATAGGAAGATTAATGCATATCTATCATCTGTTAAAGAAATTGTGATCAGAAAGGAGAATAACTTAAATGGTGTCAAAGCAATTTCTAAAACTAAATACTTTGGCTAGGTTCATACTCAGATACTTAGTTCACCTCTTGAAGCAGTGACCTGGAAATAATTTCTGAAGGTTTTTGCTTATTAAAATGATTTGCTATTATAGCAATAACACGATCTCATTGTAGATAGCATCTGAATCAGTGCAATACTCTACATCTTGCCTCCAAGTCTAGGATTTTTAAATTTTTTTAATACATCACTCTATTCTCCTGGCTAAGTTCATATCCTCTTGGTTTAAAGCCAATTTTTAATTGAATTCAGTTTGTTTAATTGCTCCTCAGAGATGTCCGTAAAATGTGCTCTCCCAGATTTCCTAGCAGAAATGCCATTGCCTCTGCTCAGCATTCCCAAGCAGGCAGCAAAACTGCCATCAAGCTCCGTCTTGCTCAACAATGACTCTTTAATTTGGTCATCTCATGTGCTTTGTATTTCAATTATGATTTAGAATGAATTAAAATCTATTTAAATGGATAGCATCATCTCTTAATACTCAATGGAAATTCATTTCAGAACATTCTATCTCCTTAAGGTAGCACAGTAAAAAAGTGTGTCATCCTTTACATTGTTAATTTTAATGTCATCAATTTTATTTCCCTTTATAATTTAATCCTACGTTTTTATTGATTTTCATTAACCAAATAAAATACAGTGATGTGTTCGTGTCATACACTCTTCATAACTGAAGCATCAAAAGTTATACTCAAAGATAGATTTAAAAGTCTAGAATTCTGTATTCCGATATTATAGAACTGATTTTAGAATCAGGCATCTCATGAAAGCAAGTAAAGTTACTTTCTATGATACTGAAGCATAATATTGTTTTAAAATAAAAATAACTCATGGAATGAAGTCTAAGGTCACAATTTCATTTATACTAATGAACATCATGTTAGAGTTTCACAATTTATGGTTTATGAAATAATCTTTTCACATGTATTTAATCGCTGATATCCACTCTGTGAAAAAAAACTTAGCGTTATTATTCCCAGTCTGTATATCAGGAATTGGAAAACTTGGGCCAAATGGGACCAGCAACATGTTTGTGTAAATAAAATTGTATCAGATAACAGTCATGCCCAGTAACTTACATGTTATTTATGGCTGTTTTGCAGCTACAAAAGCAGAGTTAAGTAGTTGTGACAGAAACTATGGAGTCCACAAAGCCTAGCATGGAATATGTAGAATGTAGAATATTCTGGAAACTAGCACACTGAATCCAACACTGTAGGAAATCTGAAGCCTAATTTCATCATCAAGCAAGTGTTCCACATATGCCAAAGTTACTCTGTCTTGTAGCCAGGCATCTGAGATAGACATGATAGAGATATAACAGAGATTTTACTTCCTTTTCTTTCTGCCCTGACAACTTACATTTATTTGACACCTCAGATAGTAAATTTAGTTAGGTAAATTTTCATTATAATCTGAAGAAAACTCATTATTCCTGTTCCTGCTGACAAGCCATTTAGCCTGATTTGCAAAATATACCATAATAAAGTCTTTTATAAGATAATTTAAAGTATCACTTGCTTTTGATGAAGACAAACCAGGTCTTTCATCTTTCTGTTACTACAGTCCATTCTCTAGTTTTTGTCTACCTAATTCTTGTAAGCACTGACTCTACATTATTCTTAATTTAATATTTTCATAAATTTTTAATTTAATGTTAGAAACAATTTGTCCTATTTATGGATCCTTTTGAAAATATAAAATGCAAAATGCATTGTTTATTGTTTAGAGATTGTTGGAAGACATACAAAATTTTAAGTGTTCTAAATTGTTTTACTTTGCTAGGTAATTAAAAACTTCCAAATACAATGTTTTAATAGGAAAGAGTATACATATTTTTGGATAAAAGCCACTTTAACATGGGATCTATGGACAGAATCCAAATGGATTGAAATCTAACTTAGAATTCCATTCCCTTTATTATACTCTATACATTCATCCACTGATTTGATAATATTTGTTAACAGTCCTTATGTTACAAGCATTATTCTAGGTCCTATGATACAGCAATGAACAGCATATAAAAGTTATCTGATCTCTATGTGCTTATGCTATGTGGTGCTAAGCGCTATGATTATGAATAAGACCATGTAAAGGAGTAGATAGTGATGGAGAAGCTGGGGTCAGCTGTTTTTTTACAAGTGGCCAAGGAAGTCCTCTGTGAGAAGAGACCCAAAGTAGTGAGTGCAGGACAGTTTCTGTGTGACCTCGCCAATACCACGGACTGATTTTAATGCACTTGTGTGAGTTCAGTGAAATCGAGCATTCATACAAACAAGTTAAATGAAGCAACTTCTCACTCACAGATAAGTAGTAGGGATCAGTAGAAGCCTAAAACTAATGGTGAGTTGATCCTCCAAAAAAATAAGTCCCCCCTCAAAATGCTTTGTTTAAGTGATATATTTTGCTTTTCAAACTTAAAAGCAATTGAATAGAAAAGCTGATATTACGGTATGAAATCATTTATGTAATTCTAAAATTCAAAATTGTATTATATATACAACACAGAAAACAAATGTAACAGTTTCAGGATAGGGTTTACCACTAGAAAAGGAGGAAAGAAGAAAGGAGAGTGATTTGGATGGGATGTTCTTAAAGCTATCCACTGAGTGTTATTTTTTGATATAATAATCTTTGGGATTACATAATAAATAATTATTGTCCTAGAACATTATTTTTAGAATGTTATTCCCCAATTTGGAAAATTTCAAACTGTAAAATTTAACAACTGTTAAATCTTACTATGTAGTTCTCACTTCTTTCATAAAACTTAAAATTTTCTACCGATAATATTTAAAAATGCATGCATTTGGTATTGCTTTAAAAACTTTTTTCTATGTCTTCACTTTTAATGGCCACATAAAATTCCATCATATGAATGTGCTATAATCTGTTTAAAGCTTCCCCTTTATGTGATTATTTTGAATGTTTTTAATATATTGGTACTACTAACCATCTTGCAATGGTAAACTTTTTACCAAGTTTTACTGATATTTAAAAATAAATCCTATCTGAGTGAAAATGATAAACATTCTAAGGATTTTTGTATATTTATATTGCCAACTTACTAAATGCCACAAATGAGTCTGTGTTGACTTATAATCTAAATAACAATGAAGGAGAGTGAAAAATTTAAAAAATCGTCTACCAAGCAGTAGTCTTTACATAGTTTTCTATCAATATAAAATTAAGACAAGTCATCATTTCTTAAAATACCATTTATTGAGGATTAATTTATTTTTCTGTGTTTGTTAACTGCTTACACTTCTTTAACGTAGTACAGCAGTTAAGGGCAAGGCCTTCACAATCAGAGATAAGTAAGTTTGAGAACAAGTTCTGGTATCATTGGATGTATTCCCGTAGATGAGTTAATTAGTTAACTCATCTCTCTCGGTCATTATTTTCTTTTATGCACAAAATATATTTTATTAGTTTATTAGGGCTACAGTAACAAACAATGAACTAGATGGCTTACAGACAGAAATTTATCATCTCACGGTTTTGAAGGATAGAATTTCAAATTAAGGTGTTGGCATGACCGCTTCCTTCTGAGGGTTATTAGGGAAGGATCTGCATTTTCCTTTCCAAAATTTATAAATGATTCCTAATATTTTATTGGTTATAGATAAAAAGTGGATCAATTATTCTTTAAAAAAAACTTGATTCATCAAAAGATAATGTTCAGAAAAGGAAAATGCAAACATGGACAGGTAGAAATTATTCACAATCCACATGTGAATATTTACTAACAGGTTTAAATGTAACCCATGGAGGAATTTAAATGTTTGTAACTAAAAGGCTCAATAATTGCCCAGTTTGAATTTTTATCAACAATTCAGACAAGAAGTTGATTTTAACATTTAGTTATAAATGGTTAAAAGTATACCGATTATGCATATAAAAACTTTGATATGGACAATGAAAAAAGATGACCAGGGTCTCATTTTCACTAATAACACAGCGTCCTGGAATTAGAATACACTTAGTTTGCTCAATTTGTTATGTAGACTAAAGAGAAAATGGCAAAGGAAATGACTAAAGCCAGAGACTGATAAATTAGAAGGAAAGCCAG